TAAGGATTTTATAAGTGATTTTTCTGACTTCCTGATTTATTTTATGCCTAGATATGAGCAGGTTTTGATTATTGGGGATTTTAATATACATGTTTGTTGCCCTGACAAACCTCTAGTTAAGGCCTTTTTAGATCTTATTGACTCTTTTAATCTCACACAATCTGTGGTTGGTCCTACCCATGAGCATGGGCACACCTTGGACCTTGTTTTATCTTATGGTGTACCTGTTCGTGAGTTGGAAATCTGTGATGCTGTGTTTTCTGATCATTAGGCCGTGTTATTTGCGATTGATCTTAATTATTATCCTACTGCTCCTTGCACTGCCCCACGGCTCTGCCGTGTATTTAATTCCTCAACTTTCACTCAATTCTCTGACTTTGTTAATGAAAACCTCATTAGCCTCGTGTGTTGTTTAAAGTTATTGACTCAGTTCTGAATGTCCCTCAGGTTGCCTGTTTTGAGTCTTCCCCCGCCCTTTGTCAAAACATTTTTATTATTTTTTAATGATAAGGTTCTTTCTACCAGAGATTAAATTTTACCTCCTGTTTATGACTTTTCTGTTTCTTGTCTCTGCTCTGCTGTCTTCGACCAGTTTGAGTGTGTGTCCTTATCTCAGGATAAGGACACATTCAGTCTGTAGGGCGACTGAATCCCTCTGGTTCCCCAAATGATGCTGTTCCTCCTCGTTTTTTAAAGGAAATCTTTCCGGTTGTGGGGCCATTTGTTCTCTCCATTATTAATAGCAGTTTATCCTCTGGCCTGGTTCCAATTATGTTTAAACATGCCGTGGTGCAGCCGCAGATTAAGAAACCTGGTCTGGATCCCACAGTGTTCTCAAATTTTAGGCCCATCTCAAATTTGCCATTTCTCTCCAAAGTCCTTGAAAAGATAGTTTACGCTCAGTTACTGGCTTTCTTAGATGAGCATAATATTCTTGAGACTTCAATCAGGGTTTAAAACCATGCACAGTACTGAGTCAGCCTTGATGAAAGTCTTAAACGACATTTTTCATGCAACTGACTCAGGGAATTGTGTGGTCCTATTGCTCTTAGATTTGACTGCTGCTTTTGACACAGTGGACCACAATATCCTTATTTCTTGTTTAGGGCACTGGGTGGGTATCCGGGGTATGGCTCTGGAATGGTTTCGATCTTATCTTAAGGATAGATCC